CCCTCTCCGTCCCGCCCCTGCGCGCCGTGTCCGCCGCCTCTGCCCGTCCCGCACCGGGAACTCCGGTTCCAGCGTCGTGTTCGCCATCAAACAGCTGTTACCGATGGAGACTTAGCCTCCCGGGAAGGGCGCCTCCCACCCTCGGCGTCTCCCGGCCCAGCTCCGGGCGCTGGAGCCTCCCTCCTCCTCCTCCTCCCTCCTCCCTCCTCCCCCGCAGACCCGTGTCCACAGAACCCACGGCTTCCCCCGGCACCTGGCCAGCCCACCTGTGGCACCACGTGCGGGTTCTGCGGGAGAGCTGCCGCCTGGTCCATGGAGAGTCCAGGACAAAAACGACAGTCCGGGCACGGGAGCTCCAACGCGGCCCGAGCCAGCGTGGCCTCCTCCGCCCACAGCCTTCAGATCCCGAGCCGGGGCGGCGGGGCGAAGGGGGTCTCCATCAGCTCAGGCGGCAGACGGAGTCAGCACAGCCCCTGCGCTCCCTGGGCAGCCTCCTGTCTCCCTCACTCGGCCCCTGAGCTGCAGGCCCTTCCCCCGCTGAACTCAGTCATCGGCCTCACCGGACAGTGGACAGTGGACAGTGCCGCGGGCAGTGGCTCCGGCCTCCGCACGGAGTCGCCAATGCAGTGATGCATCTGCCCATTTCTTCAGCGCAAACCTTTTTTCCTGGTATTACTTTCAGCCTCCAATTTCCACTGCCATGTGTTTGAATCCTGATGGTGGCATCGTCCACCTTGTTACCCTACCGGCCGGCCAGTCACCTGCACAGGCGGTGAGGGGCTGAGGACAGCGGGACAGGCCCCTTTGCTGTGCGCCTCTGGGAGCCTGTGCCCCGCAGACGGCCCTGACTTTGGGAGCCCAGTTTTGGAGCCTGGCCCTGACCCCTGCCAGCTTCGTGACCTTGAGAAACTTCTCCATGTTAATGACATTAGGTTGGTACCACCTGCCTTTCAGGGTGCTTGCTGGGATTTGGGGTACCACCTGCCTTTCAGGGTGCTTGCTGGCAGTCGGGGTACCATCTGCCTTTCAGGGTGTTTGCTGGCAGTCGGGGTACCATGTACCTTTCAGGGTGCTTGCTGGCAGTCGGGGTACCATGTACCTTTCAGGGTGCTTGCTGGCAGTCGGGGTACCATGTACCTTTCAGGGTGCTTGCTGGCAGTCGGGGTACCATGTACCTTTCAGGGTGCTTGCTGGCAGTCGGGGTACCATGTACCTTTCAGGGTGCTTGCTGGCAGTCGGGGTACCATGTACCTTTCAGGGTGCTTGCTGGCAGTCGGGGTACCATGTACCTTTCAGGGTGCTTGCTGGCAGTCGGGGTACCATGTACCTTTCAGGGTGCTTGCTGGCAGTCGGGGTACCATGTACCTTTCAGGGTGCTTGCTGGCAGTCGGGGTACCATGTACCTTTCAGGGTGCTTGCTGGCAGTCGGGGTACCATGTACCTTTCAGGGTGCTTGCTGGCAGTCGGGGTACCATGTACCTTTCAGGGTGCTTGCTGGCAGTCGGGGTACCATGTACCTTTCAGGGTGCTTGCTGGCAGTCGGGGTACCATGTACCTTTCAGGGTGCTTGCTGGCAGTCGGGGTACCATGTACCTTTCAGGGTGCTTGCTGGCAGTCGGGGTACCATGTACCTTTCAGGGTGCTTGCTGGCAGTCGGGGTACCATCTGCCTTTCAGGGTGTTTGCTGGGAGTCGGGGTGCCACCTGCCTTTCAGGGTGCTTGTTGGGAGCTGGGGTACCACCTGCCTTTTGGGGTGTTTGCTGGGAGTCAGGGTACCACCTGCCTTTCGGGGTGTTTGCTGGGAGTCGGGGTGCCACCTGCCTTTCAGGGTGCTTGTTGGGAGCTGGGGTACCACCTGCCTTTTGGGGTGTTTGCTGGGAGTCAGGGTACCACCTGCCTTTCGGGGTGTTTGCTGGGAGTCGGGGTGCCACCTGCCTTTCAGGGTGCTTGTTGGGAGCTGGGGTACCACCTGCCTTTTGGGGTGTTTGCTGGGAGTCAGGGTACCACCTGCCTTTCGGGGTGTTTGCTGGGAGTCGGGGTGCCACCTGCCTTTCAGGGTGCTTGTTGGGAGCTGGGGTACCACCTGCCTTTTGGGGTGTTTGCTGGGAGTCAGGGTACCACCTGCCTTTCGGGGTGTTTGCTGGGAGTCGGGGTGCCACCTGCCTTTCAGGGTGCTTGTTGGGAGCTGGGGTACCACCTGCCTTTTGGGGTGTTTGCTGGGATTCAGGGTACCACCTGCCTTTCGGGGTGTTTGCTGGGAGTCGGGGTGCCACCTGCCTTTCGGGGTGCTTGCTGGGAGTCGGGGTGCTGAGTGCCGAGTGCAGTACAGGCTGGGAACCTGGTCAGCGCGGCAGACAGCACCGAGGGGAACTGGTGAAGCCGCTGAGCTCAGCACTGTGCTATCACAGGAGCGGCTGCTTAAGGACACCTGAGAACATGTGATCACGCCTTGCGGAGAGATCTTGAGTATTCTCTGCCCTGTCCCCAACGTAAACAGTTTAAAAATGACTGCTTCTTAGCGAACTGCTAGTTCCTGGACATCCCAATCTTTCCCCCCAAATGTTCCCTGCTTACGGGTAAATTTTGAATTTTGCCAGCGATTGGTATTAAACACCTGGTCTGTAATGCCCAGGAATTCTGACCGTCTACTACAGCTTTGCTTTATTTTTTTCAAAGATAACTGCTGTTTATTGATCCAGAATTTCTCAAAATTGTCCTTTTTTTCAATTGCAGTTCACCTTCCTATTACTTTGTATGGGTCTCGGGCGTACAATTGGGGGGGGCGGTGTTTGAGTCTCTGCCTCCTGCTCCGCGTGCCTGCAAAGGCTGTCGGATTCTGTGCTCTCACGTGGCTGCTCCTGCCCCTCATTTGTGTCCAGCGGCCTCTGCTGCTTCTCTCCATGAGGGTCCTCTGGCCTTTCAGCTTAAAGAGCACTTGCTTTTAGGAAAGCAAACCAGTGCTGAGCAGCCCTGTCTCCTTCCTCTAATTCAGTGGTTCTCAACCTTCCTCATGCCGCGACCCTTTAATACAGTTCCTCATGTTGTGGTGACCCCCAATTTCATTGTTACAAATTGAACATAATGAAAGCACAGTGATTAATCACAAAAACAATATGTAATTATATATGTGTTTTCCGATGGTCTTAGGTGACCCCTGTGAAAGGGTCGTGCGACCCCCAACAAAGGGGTCACCCACAGGTTGAGAACCGCTGCTGGAGCGGTTTTCCGCAGGAGGCTGTGCCGAGAACACGTCGCAAGTCGGGTGGAGAAACGCCCGCCACGGCGCGTGGCCTGGGAGGCGGGGAGTGACACTCCAGGGCGGCTCAGAGCTGGGAAGAGCCTGCGTGAAGAGTTGACTGACTTCACATGGATTTCAAGCTGTGAGATGGGTGTTTCACCAGGGCTGACGGTGACGCAGTAGAGCGGCGATGAGTGCCAGGCGCAGGGCAGGAGGTCCTGAGGGCCGAGAACTAAGTCAGGACACGTAGCCCGTGCCCTGGTCACGCAACACCCGGGCCACGCTGCTGCCGGTCTGTGCTGTGCCTGCAGTCCCTGCAAGAGGGAGAACTGTGTCTATTTCAGTTTCATCCCCAGCATCTCACACTGTGAGCACGTGGGTGTCTGATGAATAGCCAGCCCTTAATTAGCATCGGTTAAGTGCCTCCACACGGGGAACTGTTCTGTGCAAATAGGAGAAAGGACTGCTGCCCTTGAGGAACCTTTCATCTCATTTGGGGAGACAGCATTTATACGTTAAATAGACTTAAATAGCCTGGGTATCTGATTAGGAGGATTCCGAGTACGGTTGAGGAATCCCAGGAAGTCTGCCTGGAGGAGGTGGGCTTCCCGTAGCCTGGAAGGTGTGCACATTTGGTTTAGGCAGGGAAGAGGGGAAAGGGTGCTGGTGCAGCAAAGGGGCAGTGGTGTGTTTCCGCACACGGGAAGGCTAGGAGAAGGGAACCCTGGGAGAAGGAACCGGCTGTGATAAGGGTATAGCTTGATGGGAGAGGAAATGTCTTTGGATTAGTGAGAAATCCAACAGATAAGAAGCAGGGCTGTACAATGTTTAAGTTAAATGTACCTCTGCTCCCCCTCACACCCCAAACTACTGCACCATCAGCCACGGAGCAGGAACTCTAGATGCCCCTTAGGCCTGGGGGGTGTGTATCACGAAAGAATTGTTAAATTTTAAATAGCAAGCTTCCTGAACTCGTGGTCCTTTGACCGAGAGTCTAAGTGGATTTGGACACTGTGTTCTCATGCCTCCACAGAAGAGTAATGGCTCTTTCAAGTCTCCAACATTATCTATACTCCGCCTGGGACTGAATTCTGTGCACAGCGCTTAACACTCTTTTAATTTATTATTTACGCCTCCACTTGTTCTAAAATGTTTGAAGCGGTTTTACTACTTAACATAGAGACTGATCTTGAGTTTGTAGGGATAGGAAAAACCCTTCCTCTACCCTTCTAGATTCATTGCTGGGCCTGCAGATCAAGCTGATGATAGATTAACAGGAAAACCCATTGAATTACCTATTTATGCCTGGGGGTCACAGAGGAAAGGACTTACATGCCATCCCACAAACAGGATCAAGTGTGAAGAGCCTCAGAAAAGGGGTCTGGGCTGGGGGGGAGGGGCGGGGGGAGGGGGTGCTGTGGGAAGGTGACCAGAAA